TTATTTACAAAACATTCATTACAAAATTTTACAAAAATATTTACAAAATATTTTCTACATGTTGGCTACCTCTTCTTAAAGTTTTGTAATAAATACTTTGTAAATAAAGGAATATTTAGCTACAATTTCTGGTATTCTCTATGTATGGCAAAATAGGGGACACTATTTTATCATCTTCAGTTTATAGGTAAGAAAACAAGTTTGGAGAAACTAAGTTGCATCTTAGCAAAAAGAATGATCTTAAAGAAAACGAAAGGAGAAGAACTGAATTGTTTCTTTGTAAGTAGCTGTACTCGTATCTGGTTGGCTAAGGGAATATATCTAAGCACAGTCAAGAGGAAAAAAATCTAAAAATGTATGATAGCAAACAAAAAATGTGGCTATTGACCGACATCCAAGCAGAACATTAACTGTAATACAGAATGAGCTACAAAGAAAGATTCCAATGTTACAATCAGTGAAATGCGAGGAGATAGTGCATCAAATCACAGATACATAATAGGTCCAATCTGTTAAGGAAGAACTTGGAAAGCAACGAGGAAAACCAAAGCAAAAAAATGTTATCTTGGCTAGATACAGACTCAAAGGGAACATTAACATTTATAAATATGTAAAAAAATAATGAATTATTTATCATAGTGTGTGCCTCTCAAATTTACCTACGTAGCTGAAGAAAGGAGGCCGTGTCAATCCTTAGTGGGATCTGAGTTTCTCCTTGGTCTTCACCTGAACGTACAGAATAACCACCCCTGAGAATGAGCTGAATGGAGTAGAAGAGCTGCTGGTTGCTGTGTGTCATCTTGTGTTCCCAGCATTGTCTGACTTCAGTTGGATTATCAGTATGCACCATTCCCTTTCCGCAGCTTCTCGTTCTATTGTCTCTCTCTCAACATCGTTTCTGATTCCTATCCATCAGCTGATTATTTATCAGCTTCTATAAATACAGCATGTCTGGCTTCTGGACTCCGACAGCCTGAATGTGAATCTGAACCCCAGCACTCACTGCTACATAAGCCACAGCAAGTCATAGAATCTTTCTGTCTCTTATGGAAATGTTCACCTGTAAAATGGAGATGGCAACTGAATCTTCTTTCTAGGGGTTACTATCAGCATTAATTGAGATAATAAAGGAAAAAGTGTTATAAAGTAACTGGCTTAGTATAAGGCTGTGGTCCCCAACCCTTGGGCTACTAACTGGTGCCATCCATGGCCTGTTAAGAATTAAGCTGGACAGCAGGAGGTGAGCAGTGGCCAGCCAGCAAAGCTTCCAGTGAAGCTTCATCTGTACTTACAGCCACTCCCTATTGCTGGCATCACCCCTTGAGTTTTGCCTCCTATCACATCAGCAGTGGCATTAGATTCTCTAGGAGTGTCAGCCATTCACTAATCTGTGCATTTGAGGCATCTACATTGTGACCTTATGAGAATCATCTAATGCCCCCCCTTCCCACCACCCTCACCCTCCAATACATGGAAAAATTGTCTTCCTGGTGCCAAAAGAAGGTCGGGGACCACTGGTGTAAGTAAGGGATTAATAAAAGTTATTTCTCTTATTTTCACATGTACTTAGGATTCGGTGTGTTCTTTATCTCCTTTTCTCTAGGAGAAAGAAAGATAGCAAAAAGATTTTTAAAATTCTACAAAGTAAAATTATCGACATTATTCATTTTTAATGTTTTAATATTGAAAAGGATCTTTTGGACAAACTTTTTAAATTTCTGTTATTAAAATTAGCAGCCTTATTCTTTCATACAAGTCTTCAGTAGATGTGACTCAACATCCCATAAAATAATTCCTTCTGCCAATTTGTTGGTATTCCCCTGTGAGAGATGAGCCTTGGCAGGAGTTGGGTACCATTAGGCACCACATCACTCCTAGGCTTGGTTTGGTATAAGACCTACTCAGCCCCAGATAGTCTCTTTTTCTGCTCAAGGTTAGTCCACAGATTTCCCTGGACCTCTCAACAGGGCAGGTTCCCCAATAATAATTAATAACCAATCATATCACCGTAATTCAGACTAACAGTCTAAACAGATATTTTATAAACAGATATTTTAAACAAGAAGACCTCAAATGCCTTCAAACCACTGCTTTCTCCTATATACTGAAAATGAGTAACAATATTTTTAAAAGAGGTGACTGTGGTATTAGATGACATTCACCATGCCTAAGTTACAGCGAGCACATGTCTGCAGAGGCTACCCTAGCACAAACAGCAGCATAAGCCAAACCATAACCCCAAATCGAATTCATCATTTTAACTTTCTTTCAAACAGAATCTCATTCTTGTATTTATACAAGAGACTCCAAGGTGGTCCTCCAGAGCCCAGCCCTCCCTAGTATTATCTTCAATCCACTCTTAATGCTGAAAAAAAGTTTAAAAGCTTCATCAACAGAGAGATGAAAAACAAAGTGCAGGTCAGGAAGCCCAGTGAGGTTAAACTGCTTGATGAAGATGACACACAGCTGTGATGGGAAGACAGCGTCACAGCCCTTGTCTTCACAACTTCCTATCAAGTGGGCTCACCCATTCCCTTTATTTGTTCCTTCCTCCTCCCTTCCTTTCTCTCTTCCTCTCTCTCTGGTTCTCCTCTCCCTCCTGCTCTCCTCTCCTCTCCTCTCCTCTCTCTTCTCTTCTCCTCCTCCATTCCCCCCCTCCTCTCTCTCTTTCTTCTCCTCCCTCCCTCACTCCCTCCTTCTTTGCTCCACTCTCCATCTCTCCCTCTAGCTCCCCTGTTTTCTTTGCTAATTTGCCAGCCTCTTACTATATCCCTAGGACTATTCTAGCACTGTAGTGGTGGCAAGCCCAAACTTGTCACCTTCTCTCTTAGTTCCCATCTAGTGACCTGTAAGAACACTGAACAGTCTGCTTGAAATAGAGCGTCCCGTGTACCATCACGAGGAATTGGTGTCCCTGAAGGAGCAAACAAGAAAGAAGACCCCGAGGAAATGTGGGGGAGACCCACAGGAGGAAACACCGTGTGGACACCTGCTTGATGGATGACAAGGGATAAGAGGAAAACTCATAGAAGAAAATGAGAAAGTGTATCCTGGGAAGAGAGGCCAGGCTGCCAACCGTCCAGAAGTGAGAAACTTCAGGGAACTAGGAAAAACTTCAGGATAACCAAACTGGAGCCCGGGGAGGGCAGGGGGCAGAGACGACTGGGTAGGAATTTTGCCATAGGACGAATTATACCTGGATTCTCACCTATACCCAATTCTGATGATATTTAAATGAGATTTGGGGCTTAGAAGTCATGCTTAAGTAGGTTAAGATTTTTGGAGGTGTTATAATGGAGTGAATGTAAGTGGGGGGGAGGGGCAGAGTTTGACAGGTTGTATCACGTCCCCTCAGACATTCATAATCTCCAGTACCTCAGAATGTAACCACATCTCGATAGAGGATTTTTTCAGTGGTAATTACTTTAAAACCAGCTCATTGGGGTTGGCCCTAACCCAGTATGACTGGACTCCCTGTAAGAGGAGGAGATTTGGACACAGTGAAGAGATAACAGGGAAGACACAGAGAAAAGACAGTGAGCCCCAAGCCAGGGAGCGAGCGAGGCCCCCGAAGACCCTAACCCAGCCCTGGTTCGATCCTGGACTGTGGCTTCGGGAACTGTGAGAAAATAAATTCCTGTTGTTTAAGCTGCCCAGTCCGAGACATTATGTTATGGCAGTGGTAGCAAATGGATACTGATTCTCATTTATACAGATGAAATATCACAAACTGATACAGAAATGAGGTTGGAGCAACGAGCCCGGGCTAATCATTACAAACCTCGCGGAGAAAGTGCACGTGCACCCCGTGCAAAGCTGCGCCCCGCTGCGCTGTGGCTCTCACCTGCCGGTTCAGGCATAGTCACAGGTGCGGTTGGGGGCCGTTCCATATCTCCTTCCTCTACGTCGCTGTGGGCCACAGTTCCCAACTCCCATCACTTGCATTTCTTTCCCTGAGGGCTTTCTCTGCCCTGCGAAGCTGCTGGGCTTAAGTACACGGTAGTAATGAAACGGAGGGGAGTTCACACTTCCTCCCCCAGGACGGGTGGGGCTTTGTAAATACATCAGAACCTTCATCGCTGAACCACCTCCCTACACTGACCACCTCCTGCAGTTGACCCGACGCTCATAGAGTGGACATGCACCACACGTGCGTATCAGTACAGCAGGCCTAACCCCTTACGTTGACCGGTTTGTCACAGGCCCTGGGGCGGTCACCTTTCTGAGATTATACCATCTTTCCCGCTGTAGCTTCCTCCCACTCAGGGAGGAGCGAGGTTTGTACTTTCCCTCTCGTCCCCAGTCTTTCTTTACTAGAATTAAGCTCACTTTTTTGAGTGAAGTGTGGTTTTGGAGGAGTGGTCTACCATGAGTAGCATTTAAACTTACATAGTGTCTAAGAAGACTTCAAAATGTCCAGAAATTTTTACCGGACTCCAGTTTTTTTCTGTTATTTTCCTAATGTATTTCACTGTAGTAAAGGGAGACAAGAGGTAATGACACAGCTAGCTGCTAATGACAATTCCGTGCTTGGGACATAACCATAAATTGGTCTTTTCCAAGCAGAAGTCCCACTTGTTTGGTCTAGATTATTTTTCCCTTTATCTGTGTTTATACACAACAAACTACTTAGATGCCCCTGGCCTTTTCCTCTCCTCCTCTTCTCCCCACCCTTTCTTTCCATCCATACTTTTCTTCCAAAGGGTTAGAAACAGCAAAAAGTTCAATGTTTCCTCTGAAGACTCTCAAAACCTATTTGGAAAAATACGTTTCAGTTAAGCAGACCCTGAGATAAACATTCCAGGAGAAATAGTTTCTTTGGGAGGTAAAAGAACTGCCAGGAAGGGAATGGTAATAACAGAAGACAGATATATTGGTTTCCTAGAGCTGCCTTAACAAAGCGCAAACAACCAGACAGCTTAAAGCAGTAGGAATTTATTGTCACACAGTGATGGGAGCGAGAAGCTGGAAATCAGCCCTGGAAGGTGCTAGGAAGGAACTTTCCCTGCCACCGTCCTAGCTTGGGGGGCTGCAGGTGTGATTGGCTGGGAGATGTATCCCTGCACCCTCTGCCTTGAAAGAGCGTTCACCTCGCTAGTCTCCACATCATCTTCCTTCTGTATACCTCTGCCCCTGGGGCCAGATTCTCTCTTTTATAAAAGTCCTAATGGACTAAGGGTTATTCTATAAGGGCTTTATTTCCAAATAAAGTCCCAAGCTGAGGTACTAGGGGGTTAGGACACCAACATTTTTGTGTAGGGGAAATAATTTAACCCACAGCAACAGATAGGAGAGGCACAGTTAAAGAGGACCTGAAGTTAGAGAGCTTGGCAGGCACGGCAGCCGAGTGCGTGCTTACCATGAGACGGAACAGACCAGGCTGCCACTGGACCCCAAAGAGGTGGTCAGCCCCCACTTCATTGCAACATGTTCTAAAAGTGACCAACTGCTTCTGAATTACTCATAAAGAGCAGTGACCAACCTACAAACTGTATAACTAAAGGAATGTTACCATTTTTTTGTTGTAATATTTTACTAAAAATCTCTGAGCCACAATATTTCCAGTCAAGCTTCACATTTAATCATATTAACCTAAAGTTAACATCACATTGTAGTGTTGAAGTAACATTTTCTTATAGTTTATACATGGTGGTATTATTATAATGTCAATAAAGATATATCACAAGTATTCCATAATTCCTTCTAAGTGAGGCCAGTAGGTAAGAACTTTTAAGAACCAAGGTTTACTGTGGTAATTATGAAAAAAATTAAACATGAAGGTCCAATAGTTGATTATATAAAAAGCTCTGGAGTTCTAAAAATCACATCCCTCAAAAAATCAATATTTTAAATATAAGCATCTGTTATCCACCTAATTAAAATGCAAATATGAGTATCAACATCTGTGACTCAGAAGATGTTACCTTCATATAGTGTATCAGAAAAAAAGATAATTTTCTCATTCAACAAGTATTTATTGAGTGAACAATAGATACAATCAATTATGCCAAGTAGCTGTAGAATGTGAATGGAACAGGATTTGGAGTCTACCTTAGTAGAGGTAAGCCTTGGTCACGCATCACTTCAATAAAGGAATATATACACACACACACACACTAAATACCTGCATTCTGATAAACACATTTACGGGAATGTGCATAAATGTAATTATGCAGCACGGTTAAGTCATCCAGAGCTACAGGGATTGGCCTTTTCTCAGAGTAGAAAAGACACCAATTTATGTTACTTCAAATCCCTCAGTGAAGTGTGGTTTTGGAGGAGTGGCCTACCATGAGTATATATTTAGTAACTGAAAGTTAGCCAAATTGGTGTTAAGTCTAGAAGAGATAATCTCTACCATCTTGGCTGTTCTGGAAAGACAAAATTGAGGTATAATTTTTCATTTGTACCTTAACAAATGGCTTTGCTATTTATACAGGAACAAGAATGGGAGGGCATTTGAGGGACAATAAAGAGTATCAGGGAAGAAGTTGTGTGTACCCTGTAATCTGGTAACAAGTACCCCCCGCCCCCACGATCAGAGCAATGGTACTTAGTTGGTGGAGAGCAGAAAATAAGGTAGAAAAAAATAGTGAGAGGCCAGAACAGGAAGGTCTTCAAGTCCAGGTCAGAGTCAGTGAGAACTGTGGGAGGTTCCTGGTGGTGGGTGGAGGCAGGGGGACGTTTACGGGGTGCACAGGGAAGTTTAATCTGCTGGCAGAGTGCAGGATGGACTGGGATAATAGGCGTCTAGATCAGGGGCTGCAAACTCACGCCCTTCTCAAGGCTGGGAAGACACTGAAGCAGCCTGTTGAGGACTCACTCAGCTCTAGCCCACACACAACTCGGTGGGTCCAATTTTGCCAACTATTTCAATTATCCCAGAAAAGTTGCAAATCCAGATTTTGATGTACACTTTTCTAGTATAAATGTCAAAGAATTCAAAAGGAAGATTTGTTGATTGATGATTGAAAGTAGAATTCAATCCATGGGCTGCCAGTTTTCAACAGAACCGCCACTAATAAGTACCTTACAATCATTTCAGCATAAATTAATGAGGCCTCAAATTGGGTACTGGCATTATCATAGGTTTAGACATCCTTTCTTATGTTTTAACCAATCAACAAATTAGCTTTTCATACATAGTAGTTAACAAGTCTAAACCAATATAATTTAGAAGGTATTCAAATGTCACAGTTACATAAAATGATGAAATATACAGTTTGCATGAAAAAACATCTAATTCAACTATGTCATAGTTACATATCACATATGTATTTTACATGTGTTGCCAATAATAATTATGAATTTATAATTAGGAATAAGTTAAGAAGACAGTAGGGTGGTTGATGTGTAGTTATGAGTGGAGAGTCCTCCTGCCATCACTATTAATATGTTAAAACAACTAATTAAATTACTAGTCATGTTTTAATCCTTTAAACATTCAGCCAAGAAGCCATTCTTCTTCCACAGTTAGTTTTAATAAGGCAAATATTTTCAAAACTTATTATATAGACAAAGAGGTCAGCTGGTCCTGCTTTAACAAACATTTTCAGCTCCAGGGCATTGCTTTTGAGGATTACATGAAGCAAAATGATCTTCCTGAAACTCTGTATCTTTCATGTTCAAATTAAGCTTTTTATTAGGTATGCTCATAGATTTAGGAATGCCTTTGGCAAGAAATAAGATGACAGCCCTTCTGTCAATAATTCAAGAAAGAGCTTTGGGAGGAACCAGAACCTTGAAAAGGAGTCTGAAGGAGGAAGAAAGGACAGAAGAGTTTCCTCTGGGCCTCCCTTCTCCGCCTGGATTTCTAGGGGCTCAGAAGCATCTGAACACGCACCTGCAGAGCATGGGAGGAACCGACACTCAGGTGGACACGTGCTGATAACCTGGCAGGCAGCTCAACCCTACGGGGCGTCCAAAAAGAAGAAAGGTAAACTCTAGTTTGTAAATTAGGTACTCACTTCGCTTTTCACTTTCTGTGTATTATTTATCTGCAGTCTCAGCACTTTTAATAAAATTTTGTTTAAATGATAGAGATGGGAGTCAACTCTGAAAAGAAGATTCATGCAGAGGGTCTATCTTTGCAGAACCTCCCTGAGACCAACCAGTCTGAGGGTTTCAAAGGTGAGGCATGAGATATTCCAAAAGGGAAGGTGACTTCTGGGAATAACGATCAGAAAGTGATACTGTGTTGTCTTTTCTCTTTATAAATTTTTATACAATCAGGGTTTTATTTTTTTTGGGGGGGGGGGAGGTGTTTTCTTTAAGTGGGTTTCCCAACAATTTAGCATCCAATTTCAAGAAAGTCAAATAAGTTCCTTGTAAATCCATGCGATTATTGTAATTATTTTGTTTAAAAATACTGATTTATTTTGTAAGTACCTCTGTAATTCTACCTATACACCAAGTGAGTGAGCCCTGCATGGCTAGAAGTATTAGTATGATCTTAAACAGTCACAATGACATAATAACTGCTTTTGTATCTGATGCCTGAAACAAATGACAACTTTTACTTGGAGTTTCCATACTCTCAAATTTCTTGGGACAGTCTCTGTTGGTGTCTTCTTCTCAAAAGGGTACCAGTTTGGAAAATAATTACATAACCACAGAAGCTTTAACTAATAGACGAGGTTATCTGTATGACAACCATGTGAGCCTGAATTTGCTGCATCCAACATTGCTAAATTCTCTCCTTCAGTGAGATAGTTACAAAAATTTTGTTGGCACACTAGTGTCCATTCTCCTATATTTGGCTTGTGTATTGGTTACACAGTTAGAGGTGCAGAAAACAGTGAGTTTAGACCATACTACCTCAGTATCAAATGAAATCAACCAGTTTAAAGGGCCACATTTGAATATGTGTGTGAAAATTTCTGTTATGTATAGCTGCAGAAAAATATCTACAGATAACTTACATGCTTTTGTTGGTGTTGGAAAATCAGTATCAACTGTAACTCATATTGTTCTTATTTTAGTTTTCATACAACTGAGAATAATTTCAGAATCTAGTATACATATGAGCTCTTCACTGGTATACTTCAGTATTTAATCTCTGTATAGTTTAAACGATTTATTTACCTATTTATTCTTAATTTTCTTATTTCTTTCCTACGTTCAATTTGAAGCAACTTCAATTTCTTTTCTAAATGTAAAAATGCCAATAATAAAATTAAGAAATAAATATTCTCAGTTATCTTCTCATTCTAAGATAATTACCTTAAATGTGATTAGAGGACAGATGTTAGAACTTGGTAGAATCAAGTATATAGGCGAGAGTCATTCATATACTGAAGTCAAAATATGGAAGGCAAAAATGATACTTGTTCTACTTTGGAAGAGAAAATACAGAGTAACTGTTTAATTGGTGGGTAATAATGCATAAGGCTCCCTTTGCAATACTTTTGAATATGTCTTTGAGCTACTCATGGAAATATAAACTATGTGACTTTGGACAAGATAATTTATCTTCCTGAGTCTTAGTTTATCTTAAAAAGAGGGTTACGGTCTGTTTCTTGTACTTGTGAGAACCAGCCGTCATAATAGAGAAGGAGCACCCAGGAGTGTGCCCTGAACGCAGCAGATGCTCGTTAAGTATAACTATTACTGGCTTGGCGCCTGTGGCTCAAGCGGCTAAGTCGCCAGCCACATACACCTAAGGTGGCGGGTTCGTATCCCCAGCCCGGGCCCGCCAAACAACAATGATGGCTGCAACCAAAAAAAAAATGTCCTGGCGTTGTGGCGGGTGCCTGTAGTCCCAGCTACTTGGGAGGCTGAGGCAGGAGACTCGCTTGAGCCCAGGAGTTGGAGGTTGCTGTGAGCGGGATGTCATGGCACTCTACCCAGGGGGATAGCTTGAGGCTCCGTCTCAAAAAAAAAAAAAAGTATAACTATTACTCCTATTTAAAAAGAAAGAAAAAGCAGTTCCTTGAAATTCACAGAAACTATGTCCCAAGACCTATGAATTCTCCCATTCTCAAATGCTTCTCTATTACTTTATGAAGAAATAAAAATTAGGATCTGGTT